CCTTGCTGTTCAGGTGATTAGATGTTTTGGTTTTGGATTGTCATGTGTTTGACCAATAAGTATTATTGTCTTCTCACATTCACTATGGGCAAAGGGATTTTAGTCAGTTCTTTTGAGTAATATTTTTGCATACTATGATTTCCTGTAAGGACCAACTGAAATAATGTCAATTAATGCTAAGTGTTTCTTTTAGATATCATGCTTTAGGAAAACTTAATTGCTCTGAAGTTAGTTTGCTCATCTATGAACTACTATTGCTTCAAAACTGGGGAATAAAATGCTAGTTTAAGATAATTTCCATATAATTTAGGTATTGTTACCACCTACCGGCGAATTTAAATGTATTTTGGGGATGATGGCTAAGTGAAGATATATGAGGACATGTTCATAGTTTATTGAAAGACGATTGCTTTTAAACTCGAACAACAAAGTGAATATCATTGAAACTGTTTTAGTGTTTGGTATTATCTTTGAGATCTTTTAGTTTAACCTCATGACCAAGAATTTCTATTACTATTACAGAAATCACGCCTGTATGTTCTCCATTAAGGCATAGACAAAAAAAAATCGTATGAAGATCTAAAGGCCATTGTATAGGCTTATAAGCATGTTTAAAAAATCCATGATGTGTTGCAATCTGCAGTTTTGCATTTTGTATCTTAGATTTTGTGAATGAAAGATCGTTACTGCCTATTCCAGGCACCTATTGGGCTTAAACAATGTCTTAGAGGTCATGCGTGAGGTTTTAATTAATTCTCTGTTATGCTTGAGTGCTACTAGACGAGGAATGTATGCTTTCTATGCCAATTCTTTTTGAAATCTTTGTCATAGTTTAAGAGTTCCCCTATACATTCTTGACATCAAGATATTAGAGGCAGATGCAAAAATCATGGATGCTTTGAAACTAGTGAGGGAACTTGTGTCTTTGGACGGATTCTTATTAAATCAGGATGCTTTCTGCTCAAATATAACCCTCTGTCGTATGATCTATATAAGATCTGCCTTTGTTTGCTCTGTACTGTTATATGGCTCATAAGGTAGAAATAATAACAAATAAATGAGTGTGTAATGAACTTGGGTTGCCCATGATCATCATTTATTCTCATTGTAATTGTTGCAGTTCTTTCAAACATGCTAAACTGTGTTCCAGTTGTTTGAATGGTGTTTATTATCTTAAACAGGTGTATTGTAGTAGAATCCTATTTTTAATTGTTTAAAGAAAATGAAAAAAAAAACCAGGTTTCTTGTTTCCAGTCCCATGGAAAGAGCTCTATCAATTTAGCTTTGGACAATTTAAGTCTTTTGGTTGGGAAGAAGTTATCCCAGGATAACGTGTCTCATTAAGTTCTTTGCTAGACTTTTTAGCTTAGGATCTGTGGCTTGACTTCCATTTAAGTTCTTTCCTTGGCGGTATGACCAGGGAGTTATTTTGGTTTTGATATGATACAGTCAGTGACTCATCACTTCCACAAAAGATGTCCTTGACTTTGAGAAATATTATAATAAAGGACAGGAGTTGAGATTAAAACTGTATATTCATTTGTTTGATCACAACTTTTTTAGAAAGCTCTGATATCTGATTTAATAGTTAGTTTTCCGAAATTTAAGTTTAACAATGAAGTGATATGGTCAGAGTTCAATGCTTGTATATTTTATTAGTAGGGTTCTTTTCAAGAAAATTTCCTATGCTAGTTAGTGAAACTCTCGTTGCTTCAAGTCTTATTTTGATTAAAGTATATGCTTGTTTAAGGGAATACTATTTAAATAATTTGCTGTTGCATATCTAAACCCTGTTGAGTTATCAAATATCACTTAGAAAACACTTCAGGTCTTATTTGATTAAATTTTGTAGATGTTCCTCGTATATTACCAATACAAGTCCTTTTTGGTAACTTTTTCCTTATTACAGTTTTCTGTTTCTGAAGGCGCGAGTTTACATTATCTGTTAAAAATTTTGGTGTTTGGAGTTGGAAGATGGTATCAAGTTCAGAATCAAGGAACTTGATTTTCGATTTGGATGCAATGACCTAATGAAGAAAGAAGATCCAACCAAAGACTAAAGCTACAAAGACACTCATCTTCTAACATGGAAGAGAGCGTGTACACTGCAGGTTTGGACGCAACTTATACAAGAATTGAATATTTTGCCTTTAGATTCAATAGTTATTACAGAACATACGCAAAGTATTATACTTGGATAAAGAGGCTTCATTCTGTATCTAGTTAGTGTCTTGGGACTGCACGGTTAGAAAATAGAAATGTAGTTTGTGTTAATGATGATCGTCCTCGTAATATTTGGTGAAGCATATTTAATCTTTAACGAACTAAAATGTGTATTTTTGGTCCTCTTATGTATAAGAAACATATATGGTACTCAAACTAGTTATAAAAAAAGAAATATATCTTGTCGATTTCGAGTACTTTTAAGAAATATTTGTCCTTTTTTCTTATGAGCCTTCATCCATTTTCTTCCTGTCGACCTTTGAGCTAACGTGTAGGCAACAATGGTGTCTAAATTCTAACCAAATTAAATGGTTTTTATGTCTTGCACGATTTCTTCTACTTTGGCGGGAATTCCCACTTTTGTGTTTGCATCGGTTGAAATGAAACAGTGACATTTCAACAAAACAATTTTTTAATGATTAGTTTTTTTGAAGAGAAATAAGTTTCTTCATGATAAGGTAAATAACTTTTCTATTAGATGTAGGATAGTTTCTTTTTTAATACATAAATCCGCTTATTTTCTGGAAAACATCTTTATCCTATTGAAAACACACATAAATATTAAAAAATATTCTCTCATTTGCATATTAGTTAACCGTAGCAAATTACTAAATGTATAGGAGTTGTTAACTATTAAGATAAATTTTCAAGTTCTTCTAAATCATAATTAACTAATCTAAATCTTCAATGAAATGACTTCAAATTTCTCACAAAAATCATATTTGAAATTCAAACTCTCCTTCAAATTTAAGTGATCGAATTATCTTTTATAAAATAATTTTCACCGCTCAAATCTTAAAAATTCAATATTTCCGACCGAGATTTGAGCTACAAAACATAATAAGAGATTGGATAAGTTCAAGATACAAAAAAATAGGTGAAAGACATAACTCTCAAATTATGTACAAGGACAGTATGGGTCAATTTAGGTAAGGACTATAAAACATGAACACTAGAATTATAATTGCCTTTATAGCACTTGGAATATTATTAAGAGAGAGAATTACTTAATTTTGCTTCTTCAATTAATAGTTTCTTATTATATGAATATATTTTTCTCCTACATCATTATTACTTGCAACATTATTCACTAGATCGTTGAATTGGATTATCTTTAATTTAGTTAATTTAATCTGGTTCTACCCTAAATGAAATGCAATCATATACGTACCCCATTTCTTTCACTTTTGCTTAATTTTATTATAAACTTTGATTTCGTTACGATCGTTGCAAATAATCAGGGCCAAATGTACGTTTAATTTGTGGTCATGTCATTTGCATCGATGAAGATACTTGTAAATTCAAATTCAAAAAAATCCAATGTGTCATGTCATTTCCATGGTTTGTACGAGGAACAAATTAATTAAGTGGTAAAAGATCTGATATACCCCTTAACTTTGTCATTAGAGCTGATATATTTTTTGTTATGAAAGTGACTTATATATATCCCTACTTGTAAATAAATGGCTTACATAATATCCTTTTTCTCTAACGGAAATGAAAAAAATAATAATTTTAATCTAAATTCTTATTTTTTTCTCTAAAAAATATAATCTCATATGATTAAATTTAATCCTCGTCAAACATATTTTTTTGGTTTCAATGACTAATTTATAATTACTATTTTGATAATCAAATTTATTTATGTTTCACTAATATTATTGTAAAACTTATTGTAGATGATCAAATTTTTTCTTCGAATACGAAATTAAATTACAACACACACAAAAATAATAGTTTAAATTATTTTTTAAAACTAAGGAATGAAAGAAAAAAATAAAATAAGAATAAAAAACTCAAATAATTATAATAAAAGAAGTCAAAAAATAATTTATGTATGAAAAAAATTAAAATATACCTTGAACTTTGATAGAAGAATCATATATACCCCTAAATAATTTTTTGTAAAAAAAATTAAAAGTAATAAATATAAATTTAAAAACTATTCTTTTAACTTCCGTTAAATGAAGGGTATATGTAATCCATTTTGTAACGGCAGAGGTATATGTGAGCCGTTTGTATAACGATAAGGACATATATAAACCACTTTTATAACAAGGGTATATCAACTACAAATGATAAAGTTGAGAAGTATATTCGACTATTTTCCATTTTATTTTATTTTTTGCATTTGGGTTTGGCTGCCAGATAGGCTCTGTAAGAAAATTTTAGCCGAGTGGCGAGACACACCCCTGTTCCGCTGTATGCAACCGCACATTTGGCGCCAACTTTACTTAATACCCCATTTACCCTTCTATGTCTTTTTCCTCTCTCAATTATACTCTTTCTATCATATTTTCTTTCATGACTTAAATACCCTTTCTTGAACAATTATTATCAATATCTATACTATTTGATTAAGTTGATAGTTATATTATTAAATCAAATGTGGTCTCTTAATTAATATATATATATATATATATATAAAATCCTAGTAGAACTTGATCTCCAACATGTAGGTTGAATTAAATATTCCCACGGTGAACGGTGAACATCTCTTTCTTTCTTATCTTCATCATTTTTATATTTAATTTTAATTAAATTATTTAATTTGAGTTGAAAATTTATTAAAATTAATCTCTCTATAATAACAAGAATAGACATTAAAATTTCATAGAGTTAAAAATTTGAACTAAGTGGGGAGGAAATGCGAAGGTTAAAAATGTCAAATAAAAGGTGAAGATTCTCAAAGGCGCCACGTGACGAGATTCTCTTAGGCTGGTTTTTGTTATTCCACCCTGCCAACGCCCTTTTATATAATTATATAAGTAGTAATTCCCAGTAAACACTAATTAGCAGAGAGAGAGTGAAACATCTTTGGTGTTCATGTGCTTTCTCCGCACATGAAAATGTACCAAATATTTTCACTTTTCTCAACAACATTTTTGTTTTTCTTCTAAGCTTAAAAAAAAAATTCGACAGTTTCTTATCGAATTTGGTGCGTTAGTACTTCACTCACATTCAAGGTTCTGGCATTTCTGCTGGATGATAGTGAACCGATTTCTTCGAGGTATTTTCCGGCAGATCGGAGTTTCTTCCTCTGTTTCTGAAGCTATCGGTGACGACTGGTTCACGCCTCGGAGATTTAATTAATGCATTAAGAAAAACTCGAAATCTGATTTGATCGAAACTTGAAGCTGCTCCGGGAAGTTGTATCAGCATTGTATGTTACTCATTTATTTGCAGGTATAGCTAATTTTTTGATTGACGAAAAAATCTGTTTCTTCCTTTGGTAGATTTTTGGATTAAAAGTTGGAGGCAAGAGCTTCTCACCTCATTATTTGAAGAAGTGTATTGAATTTTCCCCCTTTGCAGATGCATTGACTTTTATCAGGGAGGAAATTGATTCCAATTCTCCTAAGTTTTCTGGCAGAGAGATTAATTTGAGTGATCAGAGTTTCTTCCTCTGTTTTTGCTGTTCTCTGTTCAACGTGAAAATTTATGCGAAAATTTGATCGCATTTTGGTTTGTCTGTTCCAGCGGATTTTGGAATCTGATTTGATCAACTCACAAGTCGTGTGGAATCGTATGCGATCGTTGAATCAATCATAAAAAATTCCCAGGTAATTATTTATTTATATTTTGCTACATGCTAGTATATTTTAATTTTGCTTTTTAAGAAAATGATTTCTCGTTATCACTGATATATTAAAGATATAATTACAGTTCAATATTTTCAAGTGATCTATTTTATAAAACAGACTATAGGTTTGCCTTGTGAATCCATTAAGTTATAAATGGCAAATCGAGCCTTATCAAAGCTTACGCAATCAACCAACTGAACTATTAAGGTTAATCACGAATAATTTAAATACAAATAAATTTTGTATATGCGCGGAAATGAAAAAAAAAATTAATTAAATTGTCATATTTTCCAATATGGACTCGGTACATTGAATTGTTCAGAAATGACAAAATCTGTTTTTTTTTTTAAAGTTTGTTCTTATTGGTGTTGTGGTCAATATTTTGGAGTAAATGTTGATGGTGTTGTTCTTAAATGCTGATATAGTTTGTTAGTAGATGGTTCACTTCATTAACACGTATAACATATAGTGGCTCCTTTTAATGCTCTTATTTATGTGCGATGCTTTGGAGTAAAATTGAGTTCAAATTTACTACTATATAGTTTGACTGATTTAAAAGAACGTCAATTTTATTTTTAAAAGAAGAAAAGGAAATCATAATTATAGAGCTGGAGTAGAATCTACTTTTGAACTTTGAAGCATTAATGGGCGTTATTTCCTAAGTAATTGAACTGCAATCATAATTGCAAGCCGCAAGGTGTTTAAACCTTAAAACTCCCTAATAAAGAGACTAATTAAGAGTTAAAGTATTTTTATAATATTTTCATTTTATTGGATCACATATAATTTCATATTTTAACCAAACTTATATCTTTTAAATGATTTAATATGTGACCATTGACCCATAGCTTAAAATTAATCGAGTGTAGAAAGGTCATATAATCGACTCAAACTAATCTGAATGGAGATATAATTATTTACATGTTTCCTGTAGAAGTTACGTGAGAAATATTTGTTACCCTAACGTGATGTAACTGCTAAACTAATGTAATAGATTTGGCAAGTTTTCTCCTAGAGATAAGCTAAACTAGGGATAATTGAGTAAGATGAATTAAGATACAAATTGAACAAGTAAAAGAAAATAGAAAGAAATATTAATTAACTAGCCAAGAACTTTCTGGTAGTAGGTGTTCATTTATTAGTTTATGGTTTTAAATCTTTTCAAATATTTATTTGAGTTTGATTTTAATAGAAATCGATAATATTTGATTTGATTTTTAAAAAAATATATCAAAACCGTCTATAATTATATTGTATGAAACACAATATATTAATTATATAAAAAAACCGACCTTAATCGAACGATGAACATCACTACTTCCCAATGTTCATTCCTATATAAATGGAAAAAGGAATATGTTTGTAACACTATTACTATTCCCTTAGTAATTCCACATTACTAAAAATATTCATCAAAAAATTAGTTATTTATTTAAAATCAAGACAGTTCTAAAATATTATTTCCTATACACAATTAGTCAAAATAGTGATTAATGAGTGTGTATATCTAGTAAGTATTATTGATGAATAAGACACATAAATAAAATATACCCAAAAAAGCTAAAGAGTAAAGGTATTATTTTTGAAAGAAACATATAGTAAAAAGAAAGTAAACAAGGAGTATTACATTATGAGCATAGAAAATAGAGTTCGAATGTGAACATATTTAATTAAGATGGTAAGGGAAATTTATGGAGCTATATACTCTATTAAACTGTACACTTACCCACTGACGATAACTCCGAGGATACAGTAATTTAAAGAACGATATGGTCAATGAAGGAGTTAGAAATTAGGAGTGACAGACTCATCTTCCCATACCCAAACTTCAATTTCTACTTTCTTATCAAACAACCACTTATGTGTCATCCTCATCTCAATAAATACTTTTTCACGGGCTCCTCCTCCTTCCGTTTTATATTACTTAGTCTATATTGATCTGACATATTTTAAACGATATTAATAAATAACCTTTTAACAACATTTCAGTAATATTGAAACAAATAAGGGTATAAATCTGTGAAAAATATTTTTTAAACAAATTTAGTTTGTTAAATCCTACTATCTAGTAATTATCTTGCATAGATGTAGGAATAATTAGGTTTATTCCAACATCCCTCACACCCCACGTGCCCATTTTTTCTCCTTAGACTAATTCATCACCTAGTATACAAAATTCAACGCCATCGTTCTTTTCATAAAAGATTGGAGCTCAAATTTGTATCCATTGATGAAGTTTAGTACTTACTCTTCTTCTTCGACATTAAAACTGAGGGATTCTACATAGAAATCGACTGCAAAATTATGCTTATTATGTCATATTCATAACTGGGGACAAATCTTTGTTCTTTACAAAGGTAAGAACCTAGTTACTCTTTCGTGTGAACTTCACAAGGATAATGTAGTATCCACACGCAGGATGCAACAGCGACATGGATATCTAATTACTCTCCCCGTCTCAAATTATTTGTCGTGTTTCTAGTATGAATTTTTGGTTATTTATGTCTAGTTATATAATACTTGTGGTAATTTTCTCAAATTAGTTCTCAACGCACGTCAAATCTCTCATAAGACTTCTAGTAAGTCAAATTTTGGTTTACAAATATGAAATGGTTGTAAATTCCAAGGAGAAATATTAATTGGTATTTAACTCTACAATTTTCTACTACTATTACTGTTTCATTATAGGTCAGTCCAATTACGGTTATACCCATATCCTTTTAATAGAACAGGCAAGCTAAGTAAGGATAAACTAGTCATGTTCGAAGTCCTTTTTAATTTGTGCTTTGCGGTTGTTAAACAGAATCATCCTTTATGTGTTCGTTGTGCACAAAGCATACTTTTGTCATGAATAGCTTCTTTATAAAGACTCATCTCATTTACTGTTTAGAATTCAACAAGCCTCCAACAGACCTTCTTACTTATCTCTCCTTGATTTCTTCTTCTAATGTATAGGTTCTAGGTTGCTACAACAAGTGATCAAGTCTCTTAGCGATTAATCATGGCCTGTAGTTGTATATCCATAATGAACTCTCCTATAAACAGAACCTCTAAAGATGCCTGGACGGAGCAAGACAACTTTCGGAGGTCATTTCCGAGCAAAGAGACTCGTGAAAAAGCTCAAATGAGAAGATCTTATTCCGACAACCACCTGTCTTGTCGTGCAAATCGTATCCAGAGTTTAGAAACTCAGCCAAAATTGAAGAGTAGTCGTTCTACAGGAGGTCCCTTTAAAATTCAGTTGTCAAGTTCGTTCCTCCCGGATTCTCTACGGTCATTCCTGTTTGATATCGAGACCAGTAAGGATATTAACATCGATGGTGTTATCTTTGAGAGTGATCATGATCATGATGATGACAACGAAGGGATAGAGACTGAGGAAGAGACAAGAAGGTCCAATTGGATTCAAAGGCTCGTTGAGCTAAAGAGGAATTGGATAGAGAAACAGAAGGAGGAGGATGCAGAGATAAGTGAAGACAACCTGGAAAACAGCGGTGAAGACTGCGAGGAAGAAGGTTGTGAAGTAGACTATGAGGGTGACAATGAAGAAGCTGATGAGATGAACATTGATAGAGAATCATTCTCCAGGTTGTTAAGGCGAGTTTCATGGTCAGACTCCAAGCTTTTCTCTAAGCTGGCATTCTTATGCAACATGGCTTATGTTATTCCCGAGATCAAGGTTTGTTCACTTATCCAGGACATACATAAGGTTTTTTGTGCATATTTTTCTTTTTCTGGAAGTCTGATTGCTAAATCCCACCATGATAGCCAATTATCCTGTCATAGCCCTTCGTAAAACAAGCTAAGGTAGATTTCCCTGGGAAACCATATTCTGTGTTCAACGAAGGCCTTCCAGTACCGCCCCTAACACCTGCCTTAGGTGATCTTAAATAAGGTGACCATGGCTGTGCATCGATAAATTAGCCATGTAATCAAAGAGGGACCTAGAACAATTCAAGCCTCTCAATCAACATGCATGACTAATTAGTTAGTATCTATTTCAATTATTCTCATCAAGTCTAATAAATGAAAATCATTTGTCCAATATGCAGGCCAGGGATTTAGAAAGATGCTATGGTCTGGACTTTGTAACATCTTCCTTGGTGAAAAAAGCAGAAGCTATGGCTATCAAAGCCAAGTTCGACAAGGATTCAGTTTGTGTGCCAGTTCCATCATCAGATAATTCAGTGCCTAATCGAGATAAAACAGAGGAAATTGAGCATAAGTGTCTACCTCCGCCATCAGTTGCTTATGATATAGCAGCTTCGGCAGCATCTTATGTCCAATCCCGTGCTAAGGGCCTATTATCAGTTGGCAGTGAGTCCAAATTGGTAGTTGATGATGCGACATTGAAAGCTAACAAAGGGTGCTCAGCAGATGAAAAAGATAACTCTTCCCAAAGAGTATACAAGTCAGAGATGGCTGCATATGTAGCTGCATCAACAATGACAACAATGGTTGCTGCTGATGAGAAACAAAAACTGGAGGCAGCGAGGGACCTTCAATCACTTCAATCCTCACCTTGCGAATGGTTTATTTGTGATGACCTGACCACATATACTCGCTGTTTTGTTATTCAGGTAACTCCTTTCTAGTAAACTTGATGACAAACAAAGGAACATGCATGAAAAAGTGTAGTGAAATAGCACAACTCATATAAACAATTGAATCTGCAATCGAAGTGGGACACTGAAAAAGAAACCCTCCGTTTCTTTTTATATAGCAGTATTTGACTTATCACGAAGTTTAAGAAAAAAGAATTTTTGGAATTTGTGATCCTAAACAGGCCATGACATTCCAATGGCTAAAAAAAAAAGTCATATTAAGAGTTATATTATTTTCAAATATGGAAAGGTACCATTCATTTTTGGAGTGGATTGAAAAGGAAGAGTGTCATATAAATTTAACAGGTGTGGATATTATTCACGTTCATCCAGATTGACAAGTTTATATGTGCGAACTGCAGGGATCAGACTCATTGGCTTCATGGAAGGCAAATCTCTTCTTTGAACCCTGCAAATTTGAGGTAGGCATCAGAAGTGACTCTCTGTATTTCTTGTTTTTATAATTATGGGAAAGATGAAGTGATTCAGCAACTAATAATTTCATTGTCACAGGAAATGGATGTGTTGGTTCATCGAGGAATTTATGAAGCTGCAAAAGGAATTTATGACCAATACATGCCAGAGATAATGGAGCATCTGCAGAGGTTTGGCAACAAGGCGAAGTTTCAGTTTACTGGCCATTCTCTTGGAGGAAGCCTCTCACTTCTGGTCAACTTAATGCTGCTAACTCGGAAGGTTGTCAAACCGTCCTCTCTTCTACCAGTTGTCACTTTTGGATCACCATTTGTGTTCTGTGGTGGTCAAAAGGTGCTCAATGATTTGGGTTTAGATGAGAATCATGTGCAGAGTGTGATGATGCATAGAGACATTGTTCCGCGAGCATTTTCATGCAACTACCCAAACCATGTGGCCCAAGTCCTCAAACGTTTAAATCGTACATTCAGATCCCATCCTTGTCTGAATAAGAATGTGAGTACACACTCTCATACATCGTTTCTAGATTTAAAATTTTGAAGCTACTTCAAACCCCTTCTAATACAGAGAATAACCAAGTTTTACAACTGAATGTTACTTCTAGCTTTGTGTAACAATCTAACCCACCCTGGGACGTGTGCTTGTTCTTGCAGAAACTTCTATACTCTCCAATGGGAAAGATATTCATCATCCAGCCTGATGAGAGGTCATCTGCCCCTCACCCTCTGCTTCCTCCAGGCAGTGGCATTTATTCCCTAGACAGCACCAATTGTGCATTTACTAGGAGAGCTTTCAGAGTTTTTTTGAATTCTCCACACCCATTAGAGATTCTAAGTGTCCCTACAGCATATGGTTCTGGTGGTACAATTCTCAGAGACCATGACTCGAGCAATTATCTGAAGGCTGTGAACAACATTATAAGGCAACACACAAAACTACTTGTCCGGAGAGTAAGAAAACAGAGGAACCTGATTTGGCCGTTATTGGCTTCACAATCTCCACATGCATGGAGCCATGAGCGCGACATAGAAGATAGAGGAATATTAAGAAAGGAAATAATGTCAAGCGTTTGATTTCCTAGTGAGAATTCATACCCTACCTATTGAGGCCTTCTCTTGCCCCAGTCCTGCCAGCCAAATTATAAGTCTATTACAAGAGCTCAACCTCATTTGAGAATTGTTCTACCTAATTAGAACCTATAAGTTATCCTACAACCTATGATCTTTAGAGAACTATAAGAGGGAGAGATGGTTCAGCCTATTATAATTTATATGAAGACTTTCAATGTACTAATAGCAACAAAGTGCAGACATATCAGGAGAGCACATAAGCAAAGGAGCTTGGTTTGACTACTTTGGTGCATGATATCAGTAGCCATACTTTGGAAAAGAAGAATGGGTATAGTAATTACTGAAATCATAAGAGGAAGTACATGAAATGTTGTCAAATTATATCATCTTCTATATAGTCTACCGAGTCAGAACACCTTGTCAAGTAATTGTATCATGGAAATAGTTGTTTATAGTGTAAATAAAGTGTCAACTTGTGAAGTCTTACTTGAAAACTAGTGATAAGAATTTGTAAGCTCCTCTCACCATACACAATTACACACAGTACGGGATCATCAAAAGTTCATAATGCTCTTCTTATCAGAAGAAAGAACTATGCTAAATTGTCCTACATTGTTTAACGTTGTTTCAAGTACCCAATGTGAAACACTGCATCCATACAAAAGCACAGACGTGTTATTGTTATAGAAACCCACACTCCTTTAAGAAATGAAATGAGAACGTTTCAAGAGTTTGTCAAACTCCTTTACGTTTTCCCCATTTTGCTGTTTTTCTCCCACAAGGCCAGAAACTCCATTATTCTTAGGTTGAGAAATTTGAAGAACTAACTAGTCGGCGTCGGGAAAGTCTATTGTTAATGTCGAAAAAAAATGCTTAATATATCAAAACGTTCTTTAATTTTATAATATTAAATATATCATGTGGAAACTTAAAATTAATGATGCTTAAAAAAACATTTTTTCCAAAAACAAACTAAAAAAAAAAAGAATATAACAAAAACGGAAGGAGTAATGTGAAAGGGAAAGAAAAATTTACATTCGAGAAACGTGTATATTAGGAGCTCTATTCAAGGACTGCATGCATCCGGCGGTCCAACACAACCTAACGCTAGTTGAGATTAACATCGATGCACATGAGGTACTAACCTAAATCAATACAATTTTTTCCTAATTTTCAGACCTAATATCTTAAAATATGATTATTGAATAATTGAATTATGCCAATTAATTAATCTTTCAAGATTTTCTAAGTTTATCATATTGAAGATTCCTAATTCTTTTTAACGCTAGAATTTTTTATATAATTAAAGTAGAAGTTTTATTTTTTGTATAATGAAACAAAAAGTGTATGTTAAAAGGAGAACTTTCACTTATAGCCATTAAAAATAGCCTAATTGTTCTTTATAGTTATAATTTGATAATTACAATTTGTAGTTACATGTTTTATGGAGGAGAGAGGTGAGCGAGACTGGGAAGAGAGAGCAAAAAATGGAAGAGGTGAATTGTATATATATATTAGTTAGATAATTGTATATTATACATATGTATTTGTATATATGGCAAGCGTGATTGGGAGATAGAGAGGTGAGCGAGATTTGGAGAGAGACGAGCTAGAGAGGTGAATTGTATACATATATTTGTTAGATAATTGTATATTATACATATGCATTTGTATAAATGACAAGCAAAATTGGAAGAGGGAGGAGAGAGGCAAGCGAGATTGGGAGAGAGATGAGCGAGAGAGGGCAGAGAGTGAGAGAGAGAGGTGAATTGTATACGTATTTTGGTTAGATAATTATATATTAAACATATACATATGTATAAATGACAAGCGAGACTGGGAGAGGAAAGAGAAAGGCGAGCGAGGTTGGGAGAGAGACGAGCGAGAGAGGGTAGAGAGTGGGAGAGAGGTGAATCATACATTTGTATACAAATGTATGTAGCTAATTATACAATTTGAAGTCAGCCCACATAATTAATGTAGAATGTTAGTGGTGAGTGATAATTATAGTAAATTATAATTATAATGAATAATTAAGTAAAATAAATTTGCTTAACCGCATAATTTTCTCATATTAAAAATGACAGAACTAAATGATATAACATACATTCCATCAATTTTTGAGAAAATTGACAGAACTAAATGATATAACATACACTCCATCAATTTCAATATCTTGGACATAGAATATAGCTATATATATAAGAATTAATTTTGGATAAAATTTAAAAGTCAAATAGATTTAATAATAAAAACCTAAAGGTCAAATCAATTATATTTATATGGCTTAAGTCATATTCAGCATCCTAAAGTTGTCCGCATATTTCACTTGAACACTTGAATTGAGATTTATATCTATTAAACACCTCTAGTAATTTAAATTGATACCACATAAGCACGTTTTGCCTACATGGCACTTTAAATGTGATTCACGGCAAATGAGCGCGTGAAAACATATCTTTAGACATTTTAATTTTTTATTTTTTTTAAAAAAAATCTCTTTCTTCTTCCTTAAGAAGGTTACAGTCACTTTCTCCGGCAGCCACTATTACTGCCGCCACCATACACCTTCTTCTTCATATATTCTTTTCTCCCCCCTCATTTAAGTCGTTGTCACTATCATCTCCGCCATTAACGTCGCTGCTCAGTCATTTTTTTCTTCAAATCTATATGCTTGGTCGTGTTTTTTCTTCAGTTTTAGAATGAATTGGTTGTGTTTTTTTTTCTTCAAATCTTGGACTAAATTATTTTTTATGGATTTGTGAAAGAAAGCAAGATTACAATGCCATTAACGTCGCCGCTCAGTCGTAATTTTATTTATTTTGAATCTCAATCTTCCAGGATTGATTTAAGTTAGAAGAGAAAATGATGGATTGTTTCCAATGAATGGCAGCACCGCGGATTTAAGTTAGAAGAGAAAATGATGGATTGTTTCCAATGGATGGCAGCACCGCGGTAGGGGAAGACTATTTGGTGGATGGTTGGGTTGTAAAGGGTTACCTAACAATTATTTTTTTAACTTTAAAATATTTTTTTTCTTTTTCTTGTTTTTTTAATAATATTTTTGACTCACATGACATATGTCATAATTTAATTTGTTGTTGTGCCATGTCATCGCGAGTGTATCTCACTCACTTAATATTTGGGGCTGATTATTAATAAAATGTCAAATAGGTATCAATCTGAAGTACTAGAGGGGTTCAATAGGTACAGATCTTAGATGAAGTGTCCATGTGAAATATCCGGACAATTTTAAGTGACCGCATATGACTTAAGCCTATTTATATATTATATCCGTTCAACCGTCTTTCGTAATGGTGCATTCAATCATGTGTATGCCTTTTTACCACGTAACCAAATCTAATGTATTTTTGCTGGTTGTAGCCTTAGCTCTAGTGTTAGAATTTATAATGGTTGGTGCACCTATAGCACACTAACTCGTTGTACCCCTTTTGAGTAGTTAATGAAAGTTTTGATCTTTCCAGCCATAAAATAATACTTCCTTCCGTCATTCAAATTCGAATTTTAAATAGGTTTATCTTTAATATTATATTTTTTATATATATTTTAATTTTTTTGATTTGCCAATTGTTGCAACTAATATTACTTTTTACATAGTTTATAAATAGATATATTTCATTTTATAAAAAATTGAAGATTTCACGCATAAATTTTCGATCAAAACTTAAATTGTTTGACTATTAAAAAATAAAAAATATTAGCAGTGAAAAACTAGAGAAAGAAAATATAACAATGCACTTTTTTCACAACTAAACTGTTCATAATAATAATAATAATTATTATTATTAAAAAAAGAATTAAATTCAAAATTCAAAATATATATATAGAAATCTCTTTCATTATCCCCTATTATTTTAAAAATTTTATAATATATCCGAGTTGCATATTAATGTATATGAGCCAATATTTAATATATTTGAGCTGGTATTCAATGTATTTGAGCTACATATTATGTGTTCGAACTAGTTTTTAATGTAACGGAAACAATATTTAATGTATCCGAGCTTTAATTATTATATCATGTCTTTTTAATTTTTAAGGTATCAATATAATTAAAAATTTATTAAGAATAAATCATAATTTTATATTAAAACTATGAGATTTATGTAATTTACACGGAAAAAAAAACAAGAAAAGAGAAATTGAACATGGTTTGGTTAGAGGGTTAGGCCTAAGGCCCATCATCGCCAAGGCCCACACTATAGGGGACCGTGTCTCAGATGAGATTGTTGGCCCAAAATGGATTACGTGTAGATGCGCATCTATATTTGCTTTCCCAAATAAGCAAGTACGTAATTACTCCCAAAAAAAAAAAAAAAAAAAGATCAATAGATTTTTGATATATAATTCAAATTGAATTTATTGATCATTGTAAGGCAGATTAATTAGACAAATTAATTACCCTGAATAATTCCATGTACAACATAGAAGTACTATTTTTCGATTAATTAAATTTGTATAGTTTGTTAATTAATTTTTGTAATTTTATAGCTGATTAAATGTGTTTTTTTCTTTAAAAAGACAATAAAATTGATAGGTAGCATTAGGTGTTTTCAAAAGTTAAGAACGGTATAATAGATAAATGTATCGTTTAACTTGCCTCTTCTAACTTTGGGCGTGCGCTGGTAACACTTAAACTTATAGAGAGTAGATTAAATAGGCATATGTGTCATATGTGACATCTTACATGATCAATTTGCATCATTGATATATTTATCCAGATGAGATACCATATTGTTCGAGAAATCCTAGGTTAGAGTAAATGATCATTAACAGGAACATTTTATTGCATTGTTGAATCTTATCCAAGACTTGCATAATTTATGCCACGTGAATCACCAAAAATACTTGGAGTGTAAGGCTAACCTAATAACCAAAGTTTTGTGAAGAAACATTTTTGTCCTTATTTTTTCTTTTCGGCGCGGATTAATTTATTATAGATTATGTTTTGGAGTTATCGAATAATTTGTGAGTAATAAAATTACTTGAGATTTTTCTATTAATGCTCTTCTAACTTATAATGTCTTTAGATAACTGTTGCAGTTAAATCAATTAAAAAGACTAAAAAAATATCGCGAAACACAATAAAAATAATCTAAATAAGTTCCACATAAAATAAAAAATTAGATTTTATACCGTAAGTGAAACTAAAAATCTTTTTGTTGGTCATTAATTATACCAATAATTCTATTTTTTTGTGATTTTATAGTAATCAAAAAGCTATCATTTGCTACAAAATTTACCTACCCACCCCTTTTGATTTTCTTTGAATAGAGAAAAGGAGGATAAAAGGGGCCAAAAGAGATCAACAAAGAAAAAAAAGAAAAAAAAAACAAATCTCTCTTCTCCTTTTGCCCAATTGGAGTGTTGGTTTTTTTTCTACATCGTCAAAACCAATTCCTCCCTCTTTCTTGAATTCCATTTTTCTCTCTCACACAGACACACAGTTCAATCTGTGCTTCCCATTCGCACACACCCTCTCTCTAACGCTTCCCTTGAAACACATTTGCCTGTTTCCCCAATTTATATATCTTTCCCTTCTCTGTTTTCCTTTGGATTTTCAAGAACTCCCCTTATGTACGCTTATTGGGAATGAAAAATTCCATCTTTATTTGATAGAAAATCAAGAAAAGTTGTGGATTCGTCATTCTGTTGTATTTCAGGGCTTTCTTGATTTCTTGGAAGTTCTGTTTTAGGGGTATCGGTTGCTGTTTTAATCCATTGATCAACTATTTCTATCAGACCTCTCTAGGGTTCCTCTTGTTTTAATTTTTTATTTCTAGGGAAAGGTGGGTTTTTTAATTCATCATTTTCTTCCTTTTTGGTTGATATATAGGAGTAAACAAAAACTGCTATTGACACCCTTTTTGGTTTGCAATTCAGGAATTAGCCTTGCTTTATTGAACTGCTTTGTTGGGGTTCTGTTTGTAATCAGATTTAGCTTTTGTATGGGATACATGATAAAGGGGTTGCGTTTAGTTTTGTGAGGATAAAGACTAGTTTGAGAACTTTTTAGCAGCATTTTGAGGGTAGCTGGCTAAAAAAGTTGGATTTTTATTGTTAAAGTTCTTGAAACAAGAGAGGAACTTTTGTAGTTGGGTTATACAAGTAGTGTTGTATGGGAGAACATGAGGAATGGGCAGAGCCAAGTGGGCTATTACCGAATGGGTTAGTGCCAGATGCAGGACCTGTCATCAGAGTCCTCGACTCTGAGAGATGGTCAAAGGCTGAGGAAAGGACTGCAGAGCTCATTGCCTGCATTAAGCCTGACCAACCATCCGAGGAGCGCAGAAATGCTGTTGCTGATTACGTCCAGCGGCTCATCATGAAGTGCTTCCCATGTCAGGTTGTCTTGATGTTCTGGTTACATTCAATATTGTTGGAATTTTCTGTTGTTATGCTGTCTAATAGTTTGCTACTTCTCTGTGATACGTGTGTACTTGTGGTTATATTTTGCTACTTCTTTGCGAAAAGGACCAACAAATTCACTTGTTCTCAATGCATTAGGAACTCTAGTGTGCATTGTAAACTTCTGGAATGATGTACATCTTGTTGAAACAGTGATCTTTAATTTGTATTCTAGAGCTCTTTATTGAATATATGTCAGGTGGGTAACTAAAAACATTTGGTTAAATGTTGGATTTGCTTACCTAGGTAATATTACTATGAAGAGGAGATTCCTATTTTTCCTTTATTTTCCAGAAGTAAAGGGATCGGAGTAGATACAAAAGTTGGATATAAATAGTTGGGGGTATTATGAAGGCCAATGAGTTATTAAGTGTGAAAATGGAAGAGAAGTTAGAGTGTGGGTATGTGGTGGAGATGGGTGAAGAGAGTAGAATGTGAGCTGGTGATATCTTTTGGTGGTTCAAACTTTGGTCTTGTAGTCATTTTTACCCCTAGTGTGGAGTCATTGCTCTCATAGTCACATAGTTTTGATATGTCAAAAAACGTTGTTCTATGTCAGATATGTGTAGAAGTATTGACTTTTTTGGGGTAAAATGAATCTGGGGTATAAGTGTGCATGAGTTGTACATTTGACTGTGCTAATTTTTTGTTTGTTGCAAGTCTTTCTTCACGAAGGAAGTGAATACTTGGATTTTCCATATGGGACTTTGTTCTCCTTGCTCATCTAAACACAAAAAAGAGAACAAAAGGAGTAAATGTTTCAACCTTGTTTATGTGTTGTCACATCTTTTGGGGTTTTGCTTGTTATTCCTTTAATGTCTTCACATTTCCCAGGTTTTTACATTTGGTTCAGTGCCCCTGAAGACTTATCTTCCCGACGGGGATATTGATTTAACTACCTTCAGTAATAACCAAAGTTTAAAAGATACATGGGCTCATCAGGTTCGTGATATGCTAGAGAAGGAGGAGAAAAATGAAAATGCTGAATTTCATGTCAAGGAGGTTCAGTACATTCAGGCAGAAGTAAGTCCTTTTTATAGACTCCCTTCTCCTTAAGGTTTGCATGCATATTCTTAATCTTCTCCATTGGTGCCTATTAGAGTGAGAAGTAGGTAGTCGTGACTGGCTTTCTTTAGTGGTAAATGGTATTTGGCAATTTGTGACTTTTGATAGGATGGAGAATGTTCCTTGTGTAAAAAGAAACGATAGGATGGAGAACGTTTTTGGAGTAATTTTTTTTTCTATTATAAGGAGTTCTCATCAGGCATTTTTAAATTTCAAAAACAAGATGGTACCATGATCATCTTTGTTGGTTTTATTTGGGCTTGAATTTCACTTGTCCCTTTTGTGGGATTCTATCTCTGGATCTGTAAAGATATCGGTGTCCATGCTTCTATACTTTGATATTTGTTGTTGAACTTTCAAAAGAACATTCAAAAATTTGCTTTGTTACTATTTTTTGGGTCAATCTTTTGAAACTTTTTTGCTGTTTGGCTTTTCTGAGATTTTTCCCCCCTTCTATTTTGATGCAAGAAAGCAGGCATTATCTAGTTTATTTCTGTGGTTTATGCAATTGTTTTATCTTGTGGTTTTGGTCAGTTTAGTAGCGCAGATTTCTCATGTTAACTAAGATTTGTGATTCTTCTTTGATAATCTTTTTTAAGGCGAAGAAGTTACCATATCTAGTATTCCTCCGTTTCAAATAGGATGACCTAGTTTGACTTGGAACGGAGTTTAAGAAAAGAAAGAAAACTTTTTAATCTTGTGGTTCTAAATTAAATTTATGTCAAATGTACCAAAATGTCCTTTAATCTTGTGGTTTTAAACATGCCACGTAAAAAGTTAAAGTTAAAGTATTGCCACAAAAAATAAAAGGGTCATTCTTTGTGAAGCAGACTAAAAAAGAAATAGGGACATTCTTTTTGAAACGGAGGGAGTACTTACCATCTGTTGTATTGATTTTTGATCAGCATAGACTGAACTATTCCTATCTTATTAAAAAAAAAAGAATTATTCCTTTGAAAATAGGTGACACTCATTTAAACCTTTTTTTTCTGGAGTTGCAAAAGCAGTGAAACATTGTTCTCATTTTACTTGAGACTAGATCTTAATTAACATTAAAGGGAGATCTTGTGAACATTAAATGTCTGGTTGTATTTGACTGTAGTTATCAGAGCAGAGTCATATTCCCGAAACTGTGGCAATGCTATATTAAGTTTCTTTTCAATGTGAAACGAAAATATTATAGAATCTGATGGTGTTAACATTTGATATCGTACATTGAGATATTTTGAGACTTTGAGGGATTATATGTTCCAACTTTCAAGAGTAATCTATTTATGGGATTCCTTGCCAGTAAAATAAACCCCATTTTTGTGTCTAATATTTCATGTTTGTTACACACCACATAGAGGTTCTGCAATATCATCTTAGTTTAAAAGTGTTCTTGTGAAGCACCCAGTGGTGTTTCAAATTCCACTGGAGATAAAAACACTAGGTGATCTCTTCCCATTATCCTAGCCTTGGTGGACATGATAACCTGGCACCTATTGCTAATGGGAGGTGATAGACAACCTGTGGAACTAGTCAAGGTGCAAGCAAGTTGATCCGAACACCATGGTTACAAACGAGTGTTCATGTGAATGCTTCTATATATTGAATATTGCATCTGGAATTTAACATACATACATTGAATTTATTCTACCTTTTCCCCATATTTGATGAAGTTGTAATGGTATCAATCATATATTCTGTTTACATAGTATATTCTGCCAGAAGAAAAATATATCGAGAGCCTATTTCGAGAATTTGGGGAATTTATCATGTAATTAGTTCTATATCTATAGTTTGATTTGTTGTGATGGTTGTTCCCAAGGCCAATAAATGTAATACTCCCTCCGTTTCTATTTGTTTCTTAGTGCGGGTTACCTCTTCTATTATGTGGGTTGCTGTTATTGCATAGGAGCGGGGTTTTTTACCCTGTGCGCACCCTAAGGATAGCGGCAGCCTGATTCCTTGTTATAAAAAAAAATTAGAGTTGTTTATGTACCAAATGCCCTTTGAATATTGTGATCTTAAATATGCTAGGTAGCATGTTGAGTATAAACCGTTATTAAATAGAAAAAGTGATATTTTTTTTTAAAAAAAATAGACTTAAAAGGAAAGTATGACAAACAAAACTGAAATGTAGATAGTACTTTTTATGTTTTCTTAATTCTATTTTCGTTGCTTTTAGGAATGAATACAGTTGACATTCACTACAGTGTTATTTTATTATAACTCTTAGACAGAGACATTTTTCTCTTGCCTTGTTTTGCCCGAGTATCTGCCAGGAACATATAAATGGATCTATTAATTCTCCATAGAAAACTTCGTTGGTGGGGTTTGGCTCTTATCAATCAGATGTAGTGATGATTAGCTACGTCATTTTTGGATCTCCTGAGGCTATGTATAGAATTTTTTGAGACTTTTCTAGTTGGATTATATACTTCGCAGTTACTTTTCACAAGTTGCGAGGAATATCCTCCACTTCCACTAGTATTTTGGACCAAGCATGGCGCACTAGGAGAATATAGTGTCGAGTGGAGTTGTGTGAGGAAGGAAATGCTATTTGAGTTTGTAGCTAATACTTTTATTTAAAAAAATAAATAAAAAAGAAAGAAAGAAAGCCAGCAAGCTAATACTTCAATTTGAATAATGAATCATCTTTGACTATTTGGGTAGCTTAATAAGGGTTGTAGTTGCGAATGTTGGTTATATAGTTGAATTTTCTGTTTTTCTCTTCATATGCACCATCGTCTTGTTGATTATATTATTCCTGAATTCCTCTCACTGTTCTCTTTTTTTTTCCTGTCTGCAGGTGAAGTTAATAAAATGTTTAGTTGAAAATATCGTGGTTGACATATCTTTCAATCAGCTAGGGGGTCTATGTACCCTTTGTTTCCTGGAGGAGGTGTGTAGTTGTTTCTTATGCTATAACAAGGTCTGCTGTTGGATGATACAGCCGTAGGGTTAACATGCTGTGCTAAGTTATTACTTTCCTAAATAGAACTAGTTTAGAAATTAACAAATTTCTTATGCTATAACAAGGTCTGCTGTTGGATGATACAGCCGTAGGGTTAACATGCTGTGCTAAGTTATTACTTTCCTAAATAGAACTAGTTTAGAAATTAACAAATTCTTATTAAAAGGACAATGAACTCTTTACTCTGTTTGTCTTTTGTAGGTTGATCACCTAATAAACCAGAATCATCTATTCAAGCGCAGCATTATCTTGATTAAGGCATGGTGTTATTATGAGAGCCGTCTACTGGGTGCTCATCATGGTCTCATTTCAACTTATGCCCTGGAAACCTTAGTTCTTTATATATTTCATGTGTTCAACAATAACTTTGCTGGGCCACTTGAGGTGCATGCTACTTTTACTTCTGTGTTTTTTCCTTTTGTTTTACTGGTTTTGTTTTTTATTTTTTGATGTTTTTATTTCATGTATAGGTCCTTTACCGCTTTTTGGAGTTCTTCAGCAACTTCGACTGGGACAACTTTTGTGTTAGTTTATGGGGTCCTGTGCCAATTAATTCACTTCCTGATGTCACTGGTAATGACCATATGTAGAGTCATTTTTTTTAAAAAAAAATTCCTGTAGTTTGGATTAAGTTTATTTAATGGCTTAATTTGTTGTTCGTGTTACAGCGGAACCTCCTCGTAAAGATGGTGGGGAATTGCTTCTAAGTAAAACATTTCTTGATTCCTGTAGCTCCGTCTATGCTGTTTTTCCCGGCGGGCAGGAAAACCAAGGGCAACCTTTCGTCTCTAAACATTTTAATGTGATAGATCCTTTACGAGTAAACAACAACCTTGGCCGTAGTGTGAGTAAAGGTACTTGAAATTTGAATATTCCTTTTTACTAATCTGTACTATATTACACTTGCCCTTAGTGAAATGTCGTTCATGTTTTTATTCTTAAAAAATATAATATACATTGGACGAAATAGTAGTTTATGTTATCTTCCTAATATGTAGGAAAAAAATTTATCTGAATTTTAGGTATTAAATCCTTATTTGAAAAATTTTGGAAGTCCTAAATGAAAATAAAACAGTATTCCCTTCCTTGTGTGATTGGATAAGTTCATAATAAATTTATTTACTAGAAAAGAATAACAAATAATTTCTTTACTTTTGCATCTACACACATCGGGAATGTACTCTCTTTCCTTCTTAAGCTAACGAAAAGATTGTGTAGTAATATACAGTAAATACTGACTTCAAATATGTACTGACAATATGTTTATTATCTGTCAAAGAATTTAAATTTTAGTGAAATGAGCTTATATATTCCTACCTGTTTTGGTGTTTAAGGTTTAGGCTTGGGTTAGCTTCAGAATTCTAAGTTTGATAACATGTTAAGTTTTCTATATTTTTATTGAATTGAGAACTTTTATTTATTACAATTAGTTGATTGTTTTGTAGAAGATTTAAAAAGAAACAAAAATAACATATTAAATAAAAGTACTTTTTCTTCAAATGTAATGACATACACCTTTTAACAATGTCATTGCATTCTTTCTCAAAATAAATAAATAATGTCATTGCATTCTTTCTACCTCAAATTATGTATTTGATTGTTTGTCGCTGCCTGCATTTGGTGGTCTATATGGATGGGAGAGGAACCATAGATGTTTTAAAAACAAGAGTTGCCCTATGCAGAATTTTAAGCGGAACTTTTTTTTTTTGGGTGTAAACATGAATATCCTCAAGATGCAGAGGATATTGCTAGTATTTCAGAGTTCTTATGACCCCCATAGGAGTTGTTTTCTTTTGCAACTTTTGGATGTAAGTACTAGAATACTCCTTGTGTATTTTTTTGTATATAATACAAGTTACCATTCTTTAAAAAAAAAGTAATTTAGAAAGAAATCATAGGTAGAACAAGATAACAAGCACACTAAAATGTCATAAGGACGGTTAATCATTGTCAACTTCAGATGCCTATGTGATATAAGTTTTAGCACTCGTAAAATGAGTAAAATGTGGTAAACTATCAAGAAAACAAAACCTACATGCAATGCACATATAGTCAAGTGGTCATGTACAAAAGGATGAGTTTGTTTACCTTTCGATCAAATGCTACTTCTATGACACTTTTGTGCAATGAAGCAAGTAGAACACAATGAAGGAAGAATCACTTAAGTGAGTCAAACCCTTAAACATTATTAACACTTATCTTTGAAATTTGTTAATTTTCATGTTATTATTCAAATAAATCTATATTCATGTTATTTTTACCCTTAGGGGTGACCTAATGGTTTAGGCTTAGGACTTACATGTTAAAGGTCTCAATTTCTAAACCCCTTGTAAAGCAAGCAAATGGGTTTGCCTTCTGGATCAAGCTCATCGCATTGGGCTTGGCTAGTGCGGTTGCCTTTCCTGTGTGGTTTGGGAGTTATTGCATAGGAGCCGGGGTTTTACCTGCTGCGCTCTCTAAGGTATGCGACTGCTGGTTTCCCTTGTCAAAAAATAAAATAAAATAGTATTTATGTTATTTTTAGAGTTTATTCTTATTTAATACAAGGGAACTCATGTGGTGCTTACTCTAAAACTATTTATGTCAATATGACTGTTGATGTCATCTTTTTCATTCTAAGTTGCTCGGACTCTTCACTTTTGGTGCCGCATCCCTGTTGACGCGACATGGGGTGTGGGATTCATACTTGATTAGCTCAACTGATTTTGGGTACTTTGACCAAAATCAACGGAGAAATTCGAGAATGATATCACAATTTCTGTAATGGAAATAAAAGTTAAAGATGAAATTGAAGAAAATGGAGTACCTTGTATAGAAATCTCCATCCGTACCCCCAATCTTATATTTAGATCATGAAGGATCCGCACCCGCACCTGACACCCACACTCGAGTCTGTGCAACTTAGATTTCATCAACTTCCATTCATCCCTCAACTTCCATTCATCCCTGGCCATACTTGCGGAGGTCTTTGATCATGAGCATTTACTTATATTTGGCTTTAGATCTCATTATTTTTTCCATGAGTTTTCTTTACTAATTTGATGCTAAATTTAATTATATATGTAAAGTTCTGACGTTTAATTTTTGCCACCACTGACAAGTGAGGGATAACCTAGAGGAAAACACCCTCCACCTAATTATCTTGAGGTTGGGGGTTTGAATAGATTGCAAAAGGGAAAGTCTGGGGACTCCTTGGCAGCATGTCAGTTTGACCATATCAGGAAAAAAGGGGGTCCACACTACTGTTTTTTGTATGATGCATGTTAGTGCACTAGAAGAACAGAAAGTTACAATTCGATTGCTTACTGTCGTAGCTAAACTTTCTTCGACAGGTAAAAAAATTGAGTGAGGGAAATTTTTGAGGCATAGCCTTGTATGGATACTGCTTAATAGCAAGTAACTGCATGGTTTCAAAAGATCTGGTTTTGACATGCTCTTCACATAATGCTTTCTGATACTTCATATTGGTCTGATTATTATTCTGGCAGGTAACTTTTATAGGATACGGAGTGCGTTTGGATTTGGTGCCAAAAGGCTAGCAAGATTACTGGACTGCCCCAGAGAAAATATAATTTATGAAGTAAATCAGTTTTTTATGAATACATGGGACAGGCATGGCAGTGGCCAAAGGCCTGATGCCCCAGAGGCCGAATTGTCACACCTAAGATTGTCAACGCCAGATGACATACCAGAGTCTCAGAATTTCAGTGTGACCTCCAGTGGAAAAAAAGTGAAGAAGGTGGAGGGAGCCAATCCACCGAATGTTTCTTCTCAACATGGTAATCATTCTTCTGGAACCTTTTCTAGAATGAATGATTTTTCTGTTTCCTCTTATTCTGAAAACCAAAAGAACCATGGTAATTTGAGAAGCTCAAGGGTTTCTGATCAAGTGCAGAAGGAAACCACTTCCTCTCAGGTTTTACATTCAGACAAAATTCAGAGAGAATCTAAATCTGATCAAATAGCGAATGATATCCAGGGTAGGTTCGTTTTTGCCAGAACAAGGTCTAGTCCCGAGCTTACAGAAACCTATGGTGACGGTAACAATCAAGGAAGACGCGGAAGAGCTCCAGAGACTGCAAAAACACAACCCACTCTGTCGAGGCAGGACAGCAGTTATAAGAGGAGGAACCAAGGATCTGAAAATGTAGCAGGTCAGAGTGGTCGATCTTTAAATGATAGCATGCCAAGACACGTTCCATCCCATCAGAGTCATGATCCTATCACCGAATCTAACTGCGTATCAAATAGCTTTCATCAAGAATCAGGCATCGATGTTCCGAATGAAGAGCTATCATCCGCTGGTGGGACACATGGGATGCATCAGGAAGAGCAAGATCTTGTGAACATGATGGCATCTACTTCAATTCATGGACTTAATGAGCAAATTCATTTTCCTTTTAACTGGGCTTCAGCTCAATTACCGTTTCCTATCTCTCCTTCATTTCTGACTTCTATGGGTTATAATCAACGAAATATGCCAGGAGTTCCCACAAATATTCCATTTACGAATCCTGCATTTTCGAACATGCCATATCCGCATGGTTTGATTTCACCCCATCTCAACCAGTACTTCCCAGGCCTCGGGTTCAATCCAACTTCTGAAGATCCAGTTGACCGCAATATTGAAAATTTTAGCTCTATGGAGATGAACTCAGGCGAGGCAGAAAATGATTTCTGGCAAGATCAAGATGGTGGCTCCAGTGTTGGATTTGACCCAGAAAATGGAAATTATGAAACACTTCAATCTGAATTTAAGCAACAGTCTGTACATTCAGGTTTTAACTTTGTTCCTTCAACTTGGGTTAGTGGCTCTGGCAACCCTCTGGGAGCTCAGCAGAAGTATATGAAGGAAAAACATGGACCAATTAGGGAAGAGCATTCTGATAATATTCAGTTTCAGGATAGCCGGTTGAATGACATTTATGCTGAAGAAAGGATGGCAAGTTCCAGGTTCTCATCCAGTGCTCATAGTAGTTCTATGAGAAGTAAAACCTCCTCTGAGAGTTCTTGGGATGGGTCTTCCGCTAAAAGCTCAAAGTCAACAAGGGAAAGGCGGGGAAAGAAAACAGGTGCTTCAGAGCCAACTACTGGTTATGGAAAAGGTAAAATGATGTCTGACCATGTTTCAGATCAAGCTGAGGAGGATGATCAGGATTGGAATTCTGTTTCAAATGCGGGTACTGAAATGGCTGAGAGAAACCAAGGACCTCACTCTGTTATTTCCATGCACCTTGCAAGGCATGTGCCTGAACATGAAATTGCTCAGACTAGTGACTCGGACACAATGATACCCATTACACCAATGCTTATTGGGCCTGGTTCTCGGCAAAGAACGACTGATAATTCTGGGGTTATTGCATTTTACCCCACTGGACCACCAGTTCCATTTCTAACTATGCTTCCAATATATAATATTTCACCTGAGGCAGGAACTCCTGATTCTTCAACAAGTCATTTAGGAGGAGAAGAATGCCTAGATCATAGTGATTCAGCCCATAACTTTGAGTTATCTGAGGGACTTGATCACTCTGAAGATTTAACTCCATCCAGTTCTTTCAGAGGGGCTACTTCTATGGAGCCACCTGGTGAACGGAAGCCTGATATACTTAACAGTGACTTTGCTAGTCATTGGCAAAACTTGCAATATGGAAGGTTTTGCCAAAACCCTAGACATACTGGACCACTAGTTTATCATTCTCCAGTAATGGTACCACCTGGATATTTACAGGGTCGTTTCCCATGGGATGGTCCTGGAAGACCTCATTCAGCCAACATGAACGTCTTTACTCAGCTGATGAGCTGTGGTCCTCGTGTATTGCCTATTTCACCCCTACAGTCTGCTTCTAATAGACCTCCTAATGTGTTTCCACGGTATGTTGATGAGATACCAAGATTCCGTAGCGGGACAGGGACATACCTGCCAAATCCTGTAAGTAGTTGACTCATCAAACTTTTACATTATTAAATTTTATTTCTCTCTCTCTCTCTCTCTATTATGTCGCTTTAACTGATAGTAATTAGGTGGATGTTGGAGTGGCTCATCAGTTGTGAATGGGTACTTAGTTTCTTTATATATTCTTGGGCAATCCTCACCTCATGACCTAGTTTTGGAGTTGAATTAGTTCCAAGGTCCATTTCTTCATCTGATGTTAGTGCCAGATCTATCCCAATTCATGATTTACCCGATGTAGGGTCCCATGTTATATTGTACAATCTTCCAGATGTCCAGTCTTGAGCATGTTTCTGTGAGGGAGAGGGGGTCTTGGAAAATCTTCACCTAATCAGCTAGCTTCTAGGGTTGAGTTAGGCCCAAAGTTCAGTCTTCACTATGTATATCTTTTGTTTGAAAAAAAAATGCAACTCTCTCGTTTCTGAACCTCTTATTTGTGCTCATCCTGTTGTATGTAATCTATGGATTTGTTAATGCAATTCAATGTTTTCATTCTGTTCGTTTCACATAATGTTCAAGCATTAGTATAAAGAGTAAGGCTCAATGCCTCTTTTATTAGTCATTAGGGGGAGACAGCATTATCCTTGTCACTAATTCCACGAGAGATGTTCTTGAAAAGTGAATCTCAATGCTGCTTTACTTTTCAATGCTTTTGAGTTGATGTTTGCGGATGGTAACAGTCATTTATGTGCTAAATATGGGACAAATGAATCCGTGGTCTTTCCGTAAAACTAGATTTTATGTATACATTTTCTTAAGTTGGTACAATATTATTTGCTTGCATCCATACTACAAAAGATTAAATGGAACAGTTGGTTGAATGTTGAGTTATTTACCTTGAAGACTAGGGATCAAATCCCACTTCATACATTTTTCCTTTTTTTGGGGGGTGACATCCATGTTCTAAAAATCATAAATTCGCCTCTAGTTACAACAACATTTTGCCTATATTATGTCCATGAATCTTACATGCAGATTGCCTTTCTGTCCATTTGGGGGAAGCTTGATTTTGTGTATTTTAGTATTTATTCTTTTATTCTCTGTACGCAAGATCTTTTTAGATTGATATGTGCTTACTACATTTCAAGTTGATATTTTACCTTTGCAATTTGGTGTTGCGTCAGAAGGTTTCAGTTAGGGATCGACACTCATCTAATACAAGAAGGGGAAATTACAACTATGAGAGAAACGATAACCATGTTGACAGAGAGGGGAATTGGAATATGAATCCAAAATCTCGTGCTGGTGGGCGCAATTATAACCGCAGCCAATCTGAGAAATCAAACTCAAGAGTGGATCGGTTGGCATCCAGTGACAGCCGGGCAGACAGATCATGGAGTTCACATAGACATGATTCTGTTCCTTATCTGTCCCAAAATGGCCAATTGCGTGGAAATTCAAGCCATAGTGGCCCTCCTAATGTGGCATATGGCATGTATCCATTAACAGCAATGAACCCAAGTGGACCGACTTCAAATGGGCCTGGTGGTTCGCCTGTTGTGATGCTGTATCCATTTGACCACAATGCTAGTTATGGTTCTCAAGGTTCACAAGGAGAACAACTTGAGTTTGGGTCTCTGAGTTCAGCAGGTTTCTCAGGTGCAAATGAACAACCTCAGCCAGGTGAGGGAAATCGACAACGGGGAGCCTTTGAGGAACATCGATTTCGTGCAGTTTCTGGGCAACGGTCTTCTCCAGATCAGCCATCTTCACCTCATCATCAAAGGTAAACGAAGGTAATATTTATGGTTTCCTCATGGGCTTTGTTCAAATCACGACTCTAGGGCATTTGTTCCAATTGCAGCGTCTCATTTGTGAAACTGAGCTGGTTTTGCCTTTAGGTTAACAGACAGTCTAGTCTTCTTATCTTCTCTGGTGATGAAACTTTCTTGACTTTTTCAATTCATATTACTAACAGGAGGATTTAGTTAGTTTGGAAGATCAGTGGCTGGAAGGAATTGTTATTAAAGGGTACAAATTCGACATCCCTTTCACATTAAGCTGGAAAGAAGACAATGATTTGGTGATGGAAGAAACAGTGGTGAGGGGCAGGTGTGTTGCTACCATCAAATGATAGTTTTTTCAGTGAAGATCTGGACCATGAGAAGTTACTCATCAGATTTTACTAGAAAGGGGTCACATCTGGTCCTTCTGCTCTTATTTTTGTATGTTAGCTATGAAATCCTTTTTTAGCTGCAGCAACCCTCTTCAACGAGATATAGGTTTTATTCTGTTCTTGTAGATCATTGAAGTAGAAACCTTTTCAAGAATTTAGAGTGTAAAACTTGTTATAGTAGTTTTACCATAAAAAAAAGAGTTTCATTTTAAATAGAATGTACTGTATTAGCTTTTGTCAGCAAAATGAACTTGTACTAGTTCTCGCTCACTGTGGGATATTTTTAGAGTGTAGTGATGTTGTGATTTTGGTGGGCACAGAATTTAGAGTCCTTTTCAAAATGATCTTTAATCTGCTGTGCTACTAACTGTTCAAGGCAATTCTGCATCAGGGTGTTATTTTTCTTCATGTTATTGCTTCTAAAAAGCACGCCCGTGGTGTCAATGAAAGCTGGTATAGAGCATGAGTTTCAACTCCAGCTGTGGCAGAAATCTGTCCAAGTTTTGTGGATAGAGAGAGTTACATTGTACTTGTGTCGGTTGAGGTAGCAGTTAAGTAGTTCACTTCTTTTAATTAGAATTGTAGAAGAACAGATCATTGCCTAGCAACTGAAGTATATATTTTAACAAGTACCTAAGAGTAAATGTTTCGGTAAATATGCAAGTGAAAGAAGCAATTATAGATAGACCTCTGCTGGGTGGGCGTCCAATATCATCTTCCTAGATATTGAAGGGTAGGCAAAGTGGATAAATTGTTTTTGAAGGTCTGAACTGTGAAAAATTGTTTGAAATTAGTATCCGAATGTTCGATATCATATTTGAAGTGAAAAATAGGAAATGTCTCGTTAACTCTTGGTTCGTAAGCAAGTAATTTCAAAGTTACAGCACAACTTCATACTAGACCTCTGCTAATTCACCAGGATGTGGCAAGTGATTTGCCACATGATAATTTATATTCAAAACCCAGATATAAGTGCATAATCCCTTAAAAGTGCAGTTTGCTCTTCTTTTATCTATGTTGATTTATTTTATGGTCGTACATTCTTGGAAGTTGGAGACTAATATGGTTTCCAATGGCTACATATTCCAGTCCTTTTTTGTGAAATTTCGCTGTACCAGATCTAATATGGTGTTCATTCAACACTACAATATTAAAGTATTGAAAATATTTTTATGAGGTTCGTATTATCTATTTCTCAAGACTTCTTAATAGTTGGATACAATAAAAGCTCGTGTTTATTTGTCCCCTATACATCAAAAACTAGTTGCGTTATTTAGATATTCCTATTCAGAACAAGTATGAAGGCCCTCTCCATAAATATGTTTTACTATTTTAGAGCCTATTTGAAAATATTTCCCAAAAATGATATAAAATTTTAGCATCATTTTGGGTTGTATACTACAATTAAAGATTGCTGATATCTGATAACTGTGGCTGTTTGTAATTCCCACTTACTAATAAATGAAGAGACAAAATAGTTCAACTAGAAAGAGGAAAGGCCAAATTTCCTATTAGTAAAAAAGGAACTCAACTTATGTTCTGTCAAGGCTTTGAATCCTCCCTAGCAAAAAAATTACAAACAATGGGTAAAAACAGCACTTAGCTCGAAATTAATTGTTGCATTGCACGGCCTATGCTGTGTATATATACACTTCGTATGCATATATGTGTATGAGAAGAAGCAGCAACACTATCTCAATTACTTGGAACGTAGTCCAGGAATATTTTTCAATCCCATTTTCCCAAGAACAAGCTTTGGAATTGCTGGAGGGTTGTCAAGCCCCATGGTCCGACTAAACTCGTTTGCAAGTTCAACAAGTCTGTACTTGTCCTTACCGATAGACCTGTTGGAATTATAGTAACCAAGCCATGCCTGGTATGCAGATTCTTTGGTTTTCATTTCTATATGGGCTAACGCACGTTCCACCTACACAAGCATTTATGTCGCTATTACCAAAGAATGTTACTTAGAAAACCAACAGAGAAAACCAAGGAATTAAACAACTTCAAGAACAGAATATACTCCACATTCAGCTTTGAGCTTCAGATTATGCCAAGCTACAAAAGAAACATTGCTCACGCAAAGTTAATACCAACCTTTTTCTTGGCCTCTGGATCAAGCAGAGGTACAGGTGCCTTTGATACGGGCAAATCTTTAATTGTAGACAAGAAGAATTCCTCCCATGGAGCCAACAACAAAATGCCTTGTCCTTCTTTTCCTTTCCGTCCGGTTCTACCTAGACGATGGATGTACTGCTGTCTATCAGCTGGCACTCCAATCTACAAAAGAAAGGAGTCGACATAAGCCCACAGACACATGATATCCATTAGCAAGCAGACGAGAAGACATATTATCTGTCTAGATGAACTGCTATAAATACTCTAGTAACAAAACCCAACTTTAGAACAAATGCATGACTTTAAACTTTTGCATGATAGAATGCAAGATTGATTTCTTCACAGGGGAGAGAGTTTAGACAAAACTTACATACAAAAAAACATATCAACCTTGGCTTGGTATAGATATTTAAACACTAGACAGCACCAAGGACAATTGATATTGTCCAGATGACATCACATATAACCCAAATTGACACATACCTGTACAACTAAGGTAACATCTGGATAATCCACTCCACGAGCAGAAACATCTGAGGAAACTAGAATAAGACCTGTTGACTGGCGAAATTCATCTGAAACCCTTGTTCTATAGCTTTGTGGCTTACGAGAATGAATCTCCCGGACGTTTAAGTTAAGTTCACCAAGAAGTTCAGCAACGAGTTTTGTTACCATTGCAGTTGTGCAAAATACAAGAACCTGCACTCGGGAACCAGAATCAAAGTGTTGGTGACTTCTGCAAGTGATTGTTATTTGAACTTCCAGTTCAAAAATACCATAAATGATATATGACAAGTAAGCTATGGGAGACTTAGAGCCTGTTTGGGTCGGCTTATTTTATATGCTTTTAAGCACTTTTGTTGTGTTTGGTGAAGATGAAAAAAGTGCTTGTAAGAACATGTTTTTAAGTCAAAGAACAAAAATAAGCCATAAGTTGGGATCTCTAATTTATGTCTTATGCTTACAAGCCATAAGTTTTGAGCCCATCCAAGCAGGATCTTACTGTTCCTAGCAATTCAAAGAGCCAGATTGATAACATGAACCAGAAGAGCAGCACAATAAATGTGACTTTCCAAGAGTGTCACACTTTCCAGGCCTACTTTTCCTTGTCCCCCCTCAAGAAACCCAGAAAAGAAAATGCCTAGAATATCCTAATTTACAAGTAAAATACCTTATAGTTAACATCATCAGCAATGTGCTCTTTTAGTAGAGCATAAAGAAGGGAAAAGTGTGATTCTAGAGGAGAAACCAGATGCATCTGCTGAACCTGAAGAATTCACAAAGTATTAGAAAACAAGTCAGATCCAACAAAGGTATCAATCCTAGGAACTCCAATAAATAACCAAGACCTACTTGTGCATGTGTCTCTTCACTGCCTTCCTCAACAGTATTGATAAATTCGTGGTCTCTTTTCAAAGCAATATGACAAATTTGACGGACCTGCAAAGTCGGAGGTAAATTCATTTCCTTCTCTTTATACTACTTACTCCAGGAGAATAATTAAGAAAATACCTCCGGTGGAACTGTTGCAGAAAAGAGAAGTGTTTGGCGCTGTTTTGGAATAGCAGAGATGATTCTCTCAATTTCTTTACGGAATCCCATATCCAACAAATGATCGGCTTCATCAAGGACCAACACTTTAACACCCATCAACCGAGTAGCAAATCCTGCTGTATTCTCTACATGATCTCTGAGTCTCCCAGGTGTCGCCACAAGTATCTGAGTCGCTTATTGGAAAACGTTAGTAATTATTTCCTTTTTGATAAGTGGCATTAGTAGTTATTTTTGGAAGTGAAAAGTCAATCAGTATCAATTATTTAAAGACAATATAGAGCAACATAAAAAAAGTAGTTTTTTTAAAAAAAGAATAGGTAACCAAAAAAAAAGTAGTTTTTTAAAGCATAGAAGCAAGAAAAACGTTCAAGTCTGTCATTAATTGATCATTAGTTAAACTGGCTTGCAGCTACACCCATTCTCGCTTGAAAGGAGAGTGGTAATCATGAATAACCAAATAAAAATATTTATTCTCAATGATAGGATGCACTGAGATGGTTAAAAAATTGGCCTTTTAACAGGCCATCTGTATCTTCACTAATACTTGCCTGACACATTCTCCATAAAAAATTAATAAACAAGCCTTGCTCAGTCTGACAGATGCATAGAAAAGATGAATTAAGACTAAGCTAAGAAGGTCAGCAACTATTGATCTAACAAAGGTGCTTTGCGAGGTCAATGGAATCAAAGAAGAGAAGCACTTCTAATATTCATCATGTAGGGCCTAATTTTCCCTTATAATAACCCCATGCCTGCAATGTTAAATCAAATACACAAGCATATCATTATTGTTGTAGTAGATATATGGTGGTTGTACTACATTATTGTATCCAACAGTTAAACAGAATAAAACCTCCTTTTTCGATTCGTCAAAAACTTAAGCTCGCCAAACATTTTACTAATGTTTCAGAGGTTTCATCTAAATGAATTTCTTCTTCTCAGCTAGCTGTTGCTTCATTTATCACAAGAATCATGTATATATTATTCATAAAGCAGGAACTTTATAATGAAATAAAGTAATAACTACTACATCTGGCATGATTTCTGTGCCCTTCTCAAAGAAATACTATATTTTATTTTTAAAATGGAGTCTCAAAGAAATAATTACCTGACATGGATTTGCTTGCATCCTTTTCTGCTCAAGTGCAAGCCTTGTTCCGCCTATAACAACTTGAACCCCAATTGAAGGGTGATATTTTAACAAGGTGTTGGCCTCGGCAGCTGCTTGAGTTGCAAGCTCCCGGGTAGGGCATATCACAAGCACCAGAATTGGTGGCCTCTTTTGATCACGGGTGTTGGGGGGTGATTTTACAACAACTTCAATTGAAGGAAGCTGAAATATAAGTACTAGAATGGTTTAGGCCAACGTGATATCAGAGATGCCAGTCATTTTCTCGGATAAATTTTAAAATGACCATGAAAAATCTATATCAATATTTGGAGAATCTTTAACATGACTAATTTAACTGAGTTGATATTTAATTAATTAAAAAGGATTAGGTTAACAGAATCCATTTCAAAGCCATAACTCAATCACAAAATAGGTGTTGAAGCTCTGCTTTCTGGTTTCTTAATAGGAAAGAAATTAAAAAGTAAAAGGCAGCTGTGGACAAATGAGACAAGTTGACTATCAGAAAATCTAATAATCAC